AGCAATATGAGCATATTGCTATGCTTAACAACTATAATCCCATTGGGGATTATAATCCTTATAGCAATCCTAGATTATAATCCTTATACATGTACCCAGATTATTTGTCACAATAGTGCCCACTAGCCATTTCACTTGCACACTTATTTGGATTAAAACCCAAGTCGAACTACCAGTGTTCAATGAATTTAGCACTTGGGCACTAAAGAGCATTTTTGTGCTGATAAAGTAGAGACTACATAATGTGATCATGGTTAATATAATCATTCAAATATTGCTATTGAATTGCCGAAGTTGTTTGTATACAAAAATATCGAAAATATATCTCTTATTGTAATTAATACTGTCAAATTATTATTTAATATTTTTTACTACAGTACAGTCACCAAATAAGGTGAAAATAAATTATATTAAAAATATGAGGTGTCAGAAAAATATCGTCAAGTAAGGGATTATAACACCAAACATCTTGTTTTCAAGTTTAATCAACCATTTAAAAGTAGGTAAAAAAGCACTCTTAGTTTGGCTTTGATTTTGAATGTGATCAGATATAAGCTCCTACTCTTTAGAAGGAGAAACACATTCTGCACAGTATTTTCCCTCCCAATCATTTTTAAAAAATTGCCCTGAAAATATTAAATTTTACATTTGAGTATTCTTTTCCATTAAATAAGAGATGTCTTCTGGCTATTAAGATTAGGTGTATATCATTAGTCAAAGAATTTCCAGAAATGTTATAAACACTTCATAAATGAACTTTTGCATTAAAGACAATATGAACAGTTTTTTGCATTATTCTAATGAAATTTCTGCAAAAGTGCTTACTTATATTTTTCTTGTTGCACATATATTAAATCAGTTAAATTTCATTGCTGTTCTGAAAGACATTTTTTCTCACCATTTAATGCTATCATTTGGTTAACATTATCTAAATAGACATAGACAAATATGAATTTGTGTTTGATAGTTGTTAGGTATTGAGGACAAAATTTTCTAGTCATGATCTTTCTAATTACACATAAATATTCAAGGAGTTGAGGTTTGTTAAACATTGGACTTACACTGGTAATTCTCCGTCATGATATACACTGAAGAGGGGAAAAAAATCCCAACACCAAGAAAAAATAAACGTAGAGATACAAAATTTTGGGAATACATTTTTCTAGGCAGTACATTTAATTGATTCAATTTTGAAGATCACAGGTTAATGCACACGTTAGAAGAGCCATTTCAAATGTTAAATGCTGGTATATTAATAACCAGTGTAAATCCCAGAATTTTGAGAACACAAGCATGCAAAGGTGCATGCATTCTGCTGTACAGGTCTTGGGATGTCAGTTTTGGGGATGGACTTCTGTGCCTGTTGCACATGATCAGCTAATACAGGGACAATTAACGCTGGTTGTGGATGATGCTGGAGTTATTGTCTAATGATGTCCCATAAGTGCTCGATTGGAGAAATATCTGGTGATCTTAGAGGCCAAGGCAACATGTCAACATTCTGTAGAGTATGTTGGGTTACAACAGCGGTATGAGGGTAATATTATTGGGTTCTAAAAGACCCCCTTGAATACTATTCATGAATGGCAACAAAACAGGTGAATCACAAGACAGATGTACAAATTTGCAGTCAGAATGCATGGGATAACCATGAGAATGCTCCTGCTGTCATACAAAATTTCTCTTCGGACCATGACTTCAGGTGTAGGACCAGTGTGTCTGAACTGCAGACAGGTTGGTTGCAGGAACTCACCTGATCTCCTAACTAACACAGGCAATCACTGCACCAAGGCAGAACTGGCTTTCATCAGAAAACACAACAGATCTCCACTTCATCCTCCAATGAGCTCTAGCTTGACACCACTGATACTGCAAATGGTAGTGGTCTGCAGTCAGTGGAACAGAAGCTACAGGGCATCTGGAGGGAAGCTATCACTCAAGCAACCAATTTGTAAAGTTCCTTGTGTCACTATAGTTTCAAGTGCAGCTCAAATTTCTCATGCAGGCACAGTACAATGCGACACATCTATATACCAAACATGGCGGTCTTCCCTCTCGGTACTGCCACATATCCACTCGGAACCCCAAATTTTCTTGAGCTAGTACTTTCATTTGACCACTGCTGTCGACAATCACACACATTGGATACATTCTTGCCAAATCTTTCTGCAACATCGTAGAAGGAAAATTACCTTCTGCTAACCCTATTAAACGATCACGTTCCAACTCACTCAGCTGTTGATAATGGTTTCTTCTTCTTCTTAAAGGCATTCTTGACTAACATCAACTCATCATGTTAAATTCCAATGATAAATAATGCTCACAAACTTTACATTGCATATTTTAGCAAACCTGATTTGTATGTTCATAATGGCACTCCACTTAAGTGCCTAGTGCGAAATCTGAATATATGCCATCTTTCAGTTGTTTTTCATCATGGCTACCAAATTTCGTTTATGTAGCACAACATGTTAGGAAGTTTTTTTTTTTTTTTTTTTTTTAACCTGTCGGTGTATATTATCCTTTAGGATATAAATTTTAAAAAATGAGCATTTTATCATGAGCAACAAAATTATGCTTTCATAGCCTTGTAAATTGCCTTATTATTCCTAAACAACAAACTTTTGGCACAGATATAAGTAAAATTAATGTCATAAGGCACTTTGATGTTCTTTCCTTATATATCCAGAAATTATCTTTTCAACTTCCTTTCTTCTTACTATTACAGTTTAAAGAATTAATTTTGCTTTATTTTGTGGAAAAAAAGGCCAAGGCCTTTTCTGAGAATTAATAACTGCAAAAAATTTCTTTTTGGTTCAATAAGTGTCAATTCACATCAATCTTGATTTATTAAATCCTTAAAGATTTCCCATCAATCTATCCACACCTATTCATGCAAAATGCAATTATCCAATAAATATGCTTCTTCCAGAATGGAAAGGAAGACCTCTCAGAGTATACTAGGCAGAAGCAAAACCTCCCACTGGTTGAACACTGATAGAGTGCAAAGTTCCTACTAACTGAACCTCCCACTGATTGCTCCTAAGAGAACCAGAATTGCCAGGATAATTTCTTTCTCGGTAAAATATTGTAAATATTAATAGCATCATAATCACACTTATATAATAAAAATTACTCACTGGAAAACAAATATTAAAGAAAGTATTGATGAGCAATAAGAATTGGCATAACGTGAGAAAATTTGTAGGACTATACATTTGAAAACTAAACAGCACCTTTATCCTGCAACAAGAACAGAGAAACATATAACTATGCTAAAACAGACAGATAAAAACTGGAGAATGTTCTAACTAAATGATAGAAAACAAACCCTCTGGTACCATTTATTGATTGAAACATGAATAAAAGAAAAGCGACTAGGAAATAAAATTCTAGAAAAGCTGTGGGTAAAGAGATACTTCCACTAGGATTATTAACTAGAACTGAAATATTTTATGGATGTGAAGTGCTTAAAAGGAAAATTTAATTCATGAGTGGACAACATGTTTAGAGTATCGACTGCAGGGAAATAAAAAAATATGTGTTTTTTCGACCAACAAATATAGACAAGAGAAGTTTTATGAGTTTTCTTTTCCTGAATTTGAAGCTCTTAAGAGTGAAATTTCAAGGTTCTCCTCCTTTGACTAATGCATATTAAAGGCATGGTGGCATGGAATACTGTCGATACCCCACAAGTTCATACTGGGAATGGGACCTTTAACTATCAAACAGCAAACTTTAATGGTAGAAGGGAAAAAGACATAAAAATGAAGTAAAATATGCATAAATTTGTAACTAATAGATGGAAAGAAAGGCTCAATACAAAAGAATGTTATTTCTTACACAGAGATGAAAATTTTTCAACTGCTTGGAAAAATAATGACATGAGAAACTTCTGTCTATTGCAACTGCTTTTAAATAAATGAGTTCTTGATCAACAGTTGATTAAAAGAAGCAAACATTCAATAAACTTCCTTATTATAAATCATGCTTCTGAACTGTTTTAATAATAAAATCCCATCTACGAGTATAATACTTAATTCACTTATAAATAACACTATGAAGGCTGATTCTAAAAAATACACAGCATATAAAGTTGCCTACACTTAATATTGCACCTTATAATCTTTAAAATTAAAATGCTAAAAAGCAACATATCTCTCTTTTCTTTTTTGGATGACTTATCGCAGTCCACAAAAATCACAAACATGACGTATTATCATTAATGAATATTTTGTTATAGTTTCCTTTGCTGTATTTGCATTTATCTCAAATGTCTTTCTAATTGAGAGTCCGTGAGAGATAACAGCAAATACAGCAAAGGAAACTGACTCAGCGAGAGTCAGTTCTATTTGCTGTATTTGTTTATCTCAAATATCTTTTTCCTACCAAATTTGATTATGATATTTTGTATTCTTGACAAATCCAAAATTTGGATTTGTTAATTAAAGTTAATGTAGTTTAAATATTAATTAACTAAAATTAATTAACTAAACATTAATAAACTACGTTAATTAGTGCCTAAAATTATATTACAATTTTATTACAAGTATTATTTGAAATGCTATGCAAGAATTTATATGTGTCTTTAAAATGATTAATTTTTTATGCAATTCTTTTTATGCAAGATGAATGCATAATACAAGCATAAAAGAAAAGATCTCATCTATAGAGAATTACATTTTTGAAACTGAAGCTCCAGTGTAAAACTTTAGTTAAGAATTACTAACTAAATATGCTTACTTGAAACAAGCAAATTAGAATCAAATTTTTCAACAAGAAAGTAGAAAAGCATTTTCTCAAATTGAAGTTTCTCTAAAATAACAAATAAATTAAATTTGATGTTTACACCTAAATTCAACATTAACTTTTGTAGATTGCAAATTAATGTCAAATCTGGACCCTGAGGTTCAATCCACGCAGCAATTACAAACAGTTTTCATAAAAAAATAATTATTCAGAAAAAAAAATTCTTTTAAACTGCAACTTAAAAGAAAAGGTTTTTATTTTAGTATTAAAATCTTTATTTCCTAAAATTATATTACAATTTTTTAACACGTATTAATTTTTTGTATTTAGACAGTCTTTCTACAGGTTTCTTTACTATTTCAGGGGGTTCATAGGCATCTTCAGCAGGAATTTTAGCCTTCAGCTTATTTGACATTTCTTCTATCTTTCTAACTTCTTCCAAAATTTTATTTTCATTTTCAAAGAAGAACAACAATTTTTCTTTCCAATATAAATATTCTTTCTTCTCTTCAATAATCTTTAACCTCCTTTCTTTATCCAGGTCTTTCTTTTGTTCATCAAGACGCTGCTTACGTAAATTTCTCCATTCATCGAATAACCTTTTCTGCATTTGAATGTCTTCATTCTCTAAACTTTTGATTTCTTCAATTTTTAAATTAAGTGCTGTCATAAGATCACTTGTTAAAATTTTGCCTTCTTGCTTCAGTGTCTGGAAGGTTGACTACAGTCAAAAAAAAAACAAAAAAAAAAAAAGTTCAATCAAATCTAAAAATTTTATTTTTAAGGAAGAACAGTTATTTATTTTATTTTATAAATATATTTATATGATTTAAACAATAGACTTAATCCACAATTAATTCTCCATTTTAATTTGGTTAGAGTTTATTGTTACAGTATTGCTGCATGAAGTAGACAGCATATCAGTGCCTCTGAGGGTCACTACATTTGTAAATAAGGCACTTACGTGTTGAAACTGATGCCAAGCAGCATGATTTAGTGCCAATTATGAAAAAGCATATAATGTAAAAAGCATATTCATAACATGAATGCCCTCTGATTTGATGTAATCTCAATTGTAACCTTGATAAGCCATATTTTATTTCTATGAAGGATGTTTCCTACTATTTTTAAGTATTAAATTAACTGCTACTGTATTTTTCCTTGTATTTTGAGAAAATAATTAAAATTTGGCTCTTGCCTTCTACAGAACAGCAAACAGTGGATTATTTTTTTTAAATTATGAGATTCTACCATCAAAAAAGGGTGTATTAATGGACATGATTATAGTTATCTAAACATGGTCAGAAGAACAGTAATAAGTTCTTCAAAACTTCAAGAAGTTAGTATTTATAGCGTTCTAAACACATCTTCCTTCAAAATCACAGAATTTAACTAAATAGCAGAAATCGATGAAAGACTTCTGATGAAGTGGGTCAAATACTGATAGCTTATTAAATAAGAGTTGCTGATTGCTTCAGGATTCCACTAGAACAATTGGTGCAGTTATGGTGGGCCCTCTGCCAACTTTAAAGGTCTGATAGTAGTAAACTTTAATAATCAATAGGAAAACTTATAAGTACCTTGAATAATAAATGTTTTTAATCATGGATGAGGTATGTAGATGAATAATGACAGAGTGATAGTGCATAAAGATGTTATCAATCATTCTGGTCAATTTAACACTTTTTACTTTGACAAACATAATCTTAATTTAAAATATACAGTGTAAAAATTATTTTCCTCAAAATAATCTTACTTGCAACTAATATCTTGCAGTAGTTTTATGAAAAATACTATCCCTATTATTACAAAATGAAGAATTTGTGAGTATGTAACAAAATAGCAGTTGTCCTATGGCTAGATGAAAGCATGTAGAACAACCAAATTTTGAACACATGCAGTCTTACATCTGATCACAAATGTGTATATCAAAGCCTGTATTTTGAATTTGTTTTTTGTTTGAAAATGTACGGTAAAATATTGATCAACACATGCATAATGAGAGCAAAATAATATCTGGTTGTAACAATAGTTACCTGCCAAAACATGTTCTTAAGTTAGGAAACAAAAAATAAATTTAAGTAGTGCCTTTAGTGCAGACAGTAATCACAATACAAATCACAAATCTATTATTTTCTGCCAATGTTAATGTTTTGGCAGTTTATCAAAACCTTTGGCCCACAAACTTGGTGGCCATGAACCCAAAAATGGATCAACCTCATTTTGGACATCCTGTGCAGAATGGAACATAGCACCAGCAAGATATAGCTGCAAGTGTGACAAAAAGATAGAAGTCCAAAGGAACAATGTCAGGGATATATAGCGGATGCGGCAAAATTCCCCTTCGAGTTCATACAGATTCGAGCCAGACAATGCAGACACATATGGTCTTATATTATCTTGATGGAACATTACCTTTTTGCCCTGGAACTCACTTCAATATTTTTCCTTGATAGCAGTGTCAACACAGACTAGCATCTCGCTGTACAACTTACTGTTGAGGATTTTACCTTTTTCCAAATACTCTTTGTGGATAATACCATGACAATCCCACCGGATACAAACCATGATCTTTTTGTTAGTCAAATTGTGCTTTGCTACCCTGCTGATAGGCTCACCGGACACAGACCAACCCCCTTTTTGGCCTTTCCGCCTAAGTTGTTGAAGTTAATCCACTTTTTATCACAAGTGACGATCTGCTCCAGAATTTTGTCCTTGTGTTGATATTCCAGCAGATTAGTGCAGCCCCGAACACATCTGTCCTTATCTGCTTGAGTGGGCTCATGCGACACCCAGCAATCGAACTTGTACATCAAGTTTACGTAATGCATGCCGTGACTAATGGACATGGCACTAATGTCTAACTCTTTAGCAAGCTCTCTCAAGTGATTCCATACTGATCGTCTTCTACAAGTTCTCACAGACAGGTGAAAGTGCTATGCTTCTTAAATGTCCTTATTTTTTAACTTTGAAAATACCAAACTTTCACAGTGTCATATGATACAATGGGTGACCGGAAAAATGCCCACGGGAAAAATTCTCACAGAATAATGCTCAAAGGTAACTTGGCACAGCATAAATACAAAATTACATATTGAACATACATATCACATACTCTGTTGCTGACATATTGAACTAGCTTATATAGACTTTTATGACTACTATCTTCCAGTGTCAGAAGAGTAATTTCCAGTACAGTAGTAAATTATTGTTTTCAGTTTCCGCTGGGCAAAAATCTTTACTCATTTTTAAAGAGCTGCTCGTATAAAACACTTTTAATAAAATGAGATGAAAATATGTTTTATGATACAGATAAAACACCGCTGCACGAGGTAAATGCCTTAGAAATATGCTCATATGAAATATGTTTACATGAACAAATGCTCACATTAACCTTTTCAGGGGCAATAAATAAAAGCATGAAAACTGTAGTAAAATTTTGCATGTAATGTAATATTTTATACCACTGCCCCTGTATGACATTTTTTTTTTTTTTTTTGTAACTGCTAATAATTAATTTTTGTATCTTTACTCTATTTTTGGATACTTTTGATGTGTATCTATAGAAATTGATGTTTGAAGGTAGTTATTCAAGTTTTGAGCCAAAAAAATTGTAAAATTTCTGCAGAAATTTCAAATTTTAGAAATAAAATTAACATTTTTAGGCACTTTGATGATGCCTCTCAATTGCACATTATGAAGCAGCCTTCGAAAAATCTCCTAAAACCACAAATTGCTGCGAAGGCTCTCATAATGCACTAAATTCATTATTTAATTGTAGCCCCCCCCCCCAGTATGTGGTTTTTATACGACGGACTGAAAAAAGATTTAGCCTCTCAACGTTTGTTATTAGCTAATGTAAATACAGGATGTACTGAAGTAAAAAGAAAACATGAAAAACTTACATTTGGTAATCATGAATCATGTAAGAAACTATGATGAAATCGATGATAAAATTAAATATTTTAAGTAATTTAAATAAAATAATCATTCTAAATTCTCATTCATTATTCATTATTCTTCTAAATGTTTATATTACACAATATGTAACTTATTTATTACTTTTTTAACAATTAAAATCATAATACTTTTTTACTGTATAATTCTGTGTCATGTTTACTTCCTTTCTCCTCGTCTTTGAATTCAAAACCGCCCATGTGTTAATCTTATGTAGCAACTGAATCTACACATAAGTTACAAAGTTTTTGAAATATATACCACAGTTGTTTTGGTATTCAAATAATTTTTCTTTAGAAAATTCATGTAAGTGTATGATGTTCAAATCGATTAGTTATTGATTCATTAATGTATGGATATTTCTATGTGAATTATTTATCAGTGGGCTTATTTCCATATAAGCATACTTCTGTGTGAGCTTTTTTCCATGTGAGTATATTTCTAAGTGAGCATTTTTCCATGTGAGCTTTTTTCTATGTGGGCATATTTTTGTGTGGGCTTTTTTTTTGTGAGCATTTATACCTGTGAGCAGGGTTGTCCAAATGGCGACCCGCCAAATTTTTTTTACGGCCCGCAAGTACATTTTACTATGAATAAATTTATGTTACTAAATTATTATTACTAATATTACAATTATTTTACTATGTGAAAATTTAAATCTAATTTTAATTTAAAGCAGGTACTATTTAGTTTGCGTAACTTCACTTAACCTGGCTGAGTACAGCAGCAATCTGTTTAACGTCTGATGATGGTTGGCTCAACGTTGGCGCGACATATTATATTTGTGGTTGATTGTTGTTTATCTATGGTTAGCGCATGTGATGAGCACACTACCCTGCACTATTTGGTTGATTTATGCAATCGTGCTAGTGCAGTCTTGTCTAGAATTTGTTGAGGGGTGACTGCATTATAATATTATTATCTTAATTTCATACAAATTAAAATAATTATTGAATATGAGTGCTACTAATAAAAGAAATATAGACCTCAAAAATCGAGAATTTCAAGATCGCTAGGAGATATATTATTTATTTATTCTGAACAAGAATGGTAAACGACAGTGTTTGGAATGTTTACAAATCATAGCTGTGCGTAAAGAATATTAACTTGAAGCACCATTATCTTTCCATGCATGAAAAAAGTATCCTTCGTACACGCTAGACATGAAAATACCACTAGTGAAAGAAATGAAAAAGCAGCTGAAATGAAAAAGCAGCAGAAACGATTTATTTTAATCAAGAACCAAAATTTTAAGAAGCATCTATAGCTGCATCGTTTGAAGTTTGTTTAGAAATAGTAAAGGCAAAGAAGCCATTTTTGGATGGAGAATTCATTAAAAAATGTGCCATAAAAATGGCCCAAGCATTTAATGACAATAAAATGGTAAGAAAATTTCAAACTCGCAAAGAGTGCAAGATGACGTGTAAATGAGATTAGCATGCATGTCACTAATAAATTAGAAAACTTAATCAATAGTTGCTGCTATTTTTCGGTAGCATTGGATGAAAGCACAGACATTTCCGATACAAGTCGAATGCTTGTCGTTATAAGAACTGTAAATGAAAACTATAATTATTGCAGAAGAACTTTTTAAATTACAATCATTACACGGAACGACAAAGGTGAAGATATTTACAAACAATTAAAATGTTCAGTAGAGTAGTATGGTGGATTTTGAAAAGTGCTCTGCTATTGTAACCGACGGTGCTAGAGCTATGACGGGCAAAAATATTGGGCTCGCGGGACTTTTCCCAAAAGAAGGAATAACATGTTGTATGTTACACTGTATTATCCATCAGGAGGCATTATGTGGTTTATCCCTACAACTAAAAGACGTAATGGACAAGGTTTGCAAAATTACTAATTTGATTCACGGCAGAAATCGTTCTCTTACATACCGAAAATTTAAAACATTTTTGGATGAATTGGAAACTGAGTATGGAGATCTGCTTTTACATAGTAACGTTCATTGGTTAAGTGCTGGAAAGTGCTTGAAGAGATTCTTTACACTTCGAAAAGAAGTTCATCTTTTTTTCACAGAAATTGTCGTCGATGAAAATTCGACAGCAAATTTGTTTGATAAAAATTTTATTTATTCACTTGCTTTCCTAATGAACATTACAAATTATTTAAATATTTTGAATAAATCCTTGCAAGGACAAGATCAAAATGTGTGTTGCCTTTAAAAATATGTTACTGGATTTAGAAACAAATTAAAATTGTTAAGGTTTAATTTGGAGCAAAATAATTTATTTTATTTTGAATCTTGCAAAAGGATCTATGAAATATGAAGAAATGTAATATAGAAGTGAACTTAAAAATATTTCTACCCAAACTGGATATGCTAATTACAGATTTCAATGACAGATTTTCTCAATTTGATTATCTTAAATCGTCTATTGATTTATTTTGTGATCCAATAATTATTGATATCAACTCCATTGATCTTAAATATCAAATACAATTATGCGACCTGCAGGCTGACCCATTTTTTACATCTCGTGGAGTAGCTGGAATAGAAATATTCAAATTTTTAGATAAATAGAAATATCCAAAATTGAGAGATTTTGTACTTCAAATTGTATCTATGTTTGGAAGTACATATATCTGCGAGCGTGCATACTCCGATATGAAATATATAAAGTCAAAATATAGAAACAGTTTGAAAGAGTCCACTTTTGAAGATATAATTAGACTTGCCACAACAAATATTGATGAGGACGTAAAAGATATTGTTGTTAAACAATTACGGGCACAATGTTCTCATTAATATATTACGAATATTTTTAAGTTTTCTTTTTAGTATACATAAAATATTTTTTAATTAATATAAACTGACTTTTCATCTATCAATCTTCTTGGTCCCCGAAATGTTTGAAGAAAATATGGCCTACGGTCTATGATAAGTTGGACAGCGCTGCCTGTGAGCATTATTTCTGTGGGCTTTTTTCCGAGAACCGATACAATGTTAGTACCTAAAGCTGTACACATGATTTGGTGACATTCTGTAGCTGACTTTTTGCAACAGAACTGGAAAAAAATTATGGTTTTAATCTGGTAGCATGATAGTTCCATTTCAGACACCTTATACTTAGCAATAACAATATTTTTTTTACAAATTTCACAACACAGTATTCTAAAGCAAGTCTCTTTCTTTCAAATGCCAAAAATCATTTGACAAAATATGATTAAATACACCAACGCGACCTGTTTGCGCAGACGATATTTGTTGAGAGAGGAAATTTTCATTAAATCTCAATATTTAAATTTCAAGCTTAAGGTTACTTCTGATTTTTAGATCCCCCCTTTTATCAAATAAAACAATATTCTTACTTCAAACTGATTAGACAATTTTTCTTTAGTTTCTTTTGTTTGTTCTTCATCAGCAGGAATGGAATCAATTTCTGCCTTAACTTTCTCAATCTATAAATAAATGCAAATACAATAAATTTCCAAAAATTCTCACACTTTGGAAGCAAAAGTTATGCAGATTAAACAATTTTACTGATATGGGTTACAATACTTTTCAGTTTGTTTACATTTCTCTTGTTCTAATTTTTATATTAAATTTGGCATGTTTGCACATAAATTTCCCAAAACATATTCTATTTTAATAAATACTTAAAAAAAGACTTATTTATACAATACAAAATAATTATATTTTTAAATGTATTCATGTAAAAAGAAAATAAAAGGTGAGCAAAATTTTTTGAAGAAATAAAATCTGCAAATACGCAAAAAAGTATTTTATTGGGGAAAGGGAGGAAACACACACACACACACATATATATAGTATTTCAGAAATGTTTTACCACAAAAAATATCCCAAATCATTTCTGCACAAAATGCTGCTAAAATATTAAATAATTATAGACAAAAAGGCATGAAAGAAATTAAATATAAAACAAGTACAATCCTTCAATCTCCCAATAAAAGCATTAAAAGGCTCTTATCAACTCACTGTATTTAAATTAGAAGAAGCAGCAAAATCTATAGAAATACATAAAAAAGAAAAGGTTGAGGAACACAATCAATATCTGATTCAACATTATCAAGAGGATGTCAATCACATCCCAATTCAGTCAACTGCCTAGGAAAACCACTGTGTTTCTATTCACCCAAAATTCATTTGATGAACCACTTTAAATTATTTAATAATTATACTTCATCCAAAAATTTCAAATGCCTCCTCTACTCGGTCATTTTGCTTTCACTAATACACAAAAATAAATTTAAATGAAATAAAACTCAATTTATCTAATAAGACAAAAAGTACAATGTACAACTGCTATCATTAAAATTAAATAATTTACTAAAAAAAGGGAATTTAAGTAATATTTAAACAATAAACCCAAAACCAAAATGTATGAACTGTTTTGGAGAACAATAGAAACTGATTTAAAATGGGTGGAAATGATGCCTACATTTGCCTGTTTGATGATATTGGTGATAAAAAATGGCAATGGGAAATTTTAAACTTCTAAAAAGATGAATTTTTAGTAAGATTTTTTTTTTTCTTAAATTAAAACTAAAAAGCATTAAAGAAATGCAATAAAGAAAAGGAACGACAGGGAAAATGTTAGGAAAAAATAAAAATTTTTCACACCATGGACTTATCATGATGACTTAGAGTAATTAATAAAAGTATAGTCAAGAAAATCTGTACAGTAAATACATATTTACAAGTTAGACTATACATCCTTTTAATCCATCCATTTCATTCTTATATTTCTTATATTCCACTTCATTACTACAGTTCATTTCTTTCATGTCCTTGTTGTTTACTTTATAAATTTATTGCTTTTCTGTCTATAATTAATTGTATATATATATGTAAGATAAAAATAAATGTGTATCAGCTTTATAATTTAATTTAGTAATAGCCTGTTAATTCCTCATTTTTAATTTGGATATTTCCTCTCTCCATTCTAAAAGTAGTAATAACTTTTCTGGGCTGCATCATTTCTAGATAAACCCATCTTGCATGGATTACATAATGCTGATGATATAGCTGATTCAGAACCTAAACTCAAACTTTCGAGAATTGAAACTTTTCTAATCTAAACCAAAACCTTCTCTTGGTGAGCTTCTATATTGGATAATTGTGAACTTTAGCTTCAGCTATCTTACTGTCTAAATGCTACTTTGCTCCCTTTACTTTGTCATGCTGCTATCTATGTTGTTACCTAAAATGTGATATTCTGCATAAAACTGCGAGGTGCATATTGCACCCACAATTATGTGTGATGAAAAATATGTTTTAGATTAGTTCGTATCCCAAAATAAAAATTATTTTCAATTCAGCCACGTTTGTCCACAAGTCTCTTCTTTTAGTGTCATCTTTCTAACTATGCAGTAAAGTCTCCCTAGGATATAATGCAAAGAACTACAGTCAATCAGTTGCAGCTTTCCTCCATATCATCTTATTACATATATAGATAATTATATACATAGATAGAGAAACAGAGATATATATTTCAGCTCTTACACAAAAGAAACAAATAAATATATTACTTGTCAAATCCCTAGCAGTAAGGTTTATCTTGTATTTAAACTCCATGATAATTCTGTCACTACATTTCATGTGGGTGCAGCTGGAATATTAACACTACCAGTGTCAAAGAAACAGACTAGAATTTAAATTTTTGAATTTTCTTAGTCCATTTTTCTTTATGATGCTTTCCATTTTTTTATGATGGAAAAAGCTCTACAAGTTCTGTTTTGATAATCTATCTCTTATAACCACTCCCCGTACTATAAACTATGGTGGACTTACTCTATTAGTACATGGCAAAATCTTTACTTCAGTTTGAGAAATTTCTGGCCAGATTGAAGAATTTAAAGTCAAAATTTTTGAAAAGTTAACAGATTTGATGATATTGGATCAAATTTTTTAAAAAAATTCCTTCCATGTTATAGAGAACATTTTTTGGATCACTAGAGAGTGGAGACTGACCTTCTTCAGTTAGCTAATAAATTGTATTTATATTAAGAAGCCAAAACATGAAAAGTAGAAACATCAGTAAGGAAGCTACAAAACCTTCTCAACATAATGGTCTGAAAAATTATAAAAATAACCCTAAAAAATTCAGCAACAAGGAATTCTGGCATGATAGAAGATGAACCAACTGTTAGTTGCAATGGTTGTGGAATCAGGTGTTGTTAGGGTGAAATATCCAACCTGCTCTCCTTTTTTAAGCAAAGAATCAGCCAACTTTAGAGTTATAAACTGTTATGCACAATATCTATGGAGACAATTCACCTGATTCTTTTAAGGGTAAAAATCAACAGATTTACTGGTCTGTGCTGACACTGGCGCTAGTCACAGTATAGCGGGAGAAACATTAAAGGAATTCTTGAAAGAAAATGGAATAGTAAGAAAACTACTATGAAGGTCACTCTCGCTGATGATATCCAAAGGGACAAAGAAGTCCACATGATCCAGGTAGACATTCAAATTGCAGGAAGGTCATTCTGCACAACTTTATTTGCACTCTCCACAGCAAAGGGCAACAGAACACTTTTAGGAGCAAATTTTCTTAGTAGCGCTGGTTTTAGACCTACCAAATCACTGGTGGTTTTACCACGATAATCCAAAACAGAAGTTTACGTTTATTGATGATGATTTTAAATCAAAGAAACCCTGTCGAATTTAGAGTACCCTATTGAATATGCCAGCCAAGTATAATCTCCAGCTGAGCAAAACTATTTGATGACTGAAAAAGTAGCCCTCACTGTTGTGCAGGTCCTTAAGAAATTCAGTGATTACGTCAAGGCATCCGAAGTAACTGCGGCATCTGATCATTAACTTTTGAAATGGCTTTTGAATCTCAAGTCTCCAATCAGACGATTTGCTAGACGGGCACTTGAAATTCAGTCTTTTAACCTGAAAGTACATCTCTGGAAAAGCAAACGTCATCGCTGACATGCTGTCCCATCCAATATCTGAACATGAAGTTTCAACTTGTGAGATTTCAAATATATCTGTAGTCGACATGGGGGATGGCATGTTGGATGGGGTCATAAATGAGTCCTTTAATGTGTAACAATAATTCATTACAAGGGTCAAGTTACATACAGACATAACATATAATTTTAAAATTTCACAAAGCAGGGGGTCTGATACAATCTAAGAGGTTCATAACCTGGCCTTTACTGAAGTCTTTCTCTGGCTACTCACCGCCTGGCACCCTACTCTTATTGCTAGAGTGAATCCACAAAGTTTATAGCATCCAGAGTAGTTACATTCTTACTTGAATCTCATATAAAAAGCTTGCTCACTGCAAGGAATGTAAATTAACCAGACATGAGGTATATTTAAATCTTTAAGACATTACAACTTAATAAATTCCTTACACATACTAACCATATAAACTGAAAATTAATATTGTAGACAGTGAAATATGCACCCAAAAAAAGAAGGATTTATTTGAAATAAAAAATTTGCAAAGGTTCATGATCATTATTGATCATCAGGAGATTTACCATAAGAGCTCTGATGTGTGTGCAGGAAATGCTAAATAATGTTGATAAGATAAATTTACTTTTCTAATCAAAAAGGTTTTAAATATAATTATTTTTATTAAAAAGGTTATTTTAACATTGACATAAGAAAACTTGTCAAATTTATCTCATTAAATTTTATGAAAGCTATTTTTTTTTTTTTCCATGTCCAAAAATAGGGACAGATTACAGACATTTGCAGATTAAGCTGTCACAGCCCATCGAAATTCTACTATATATACATATACACTGCAAAATTTCCTAAATAATTTTTAAATAAAGATAGAAATGTATAATTTGGAATGAGAAGGGAATGGAAATGAACAACTTATAAGTACCTCTAGGAAGTATAAGTGCATATCAAATTGTGTCATACAGATATATTTTTAGTTACTATTACTACTCACTAATTCAGCTAAGATACTCATGAAATCAATCTCCATGAATGTCCAATTTTCTCTGCAATCTGCAAAAACATGCACTGCAGAGAAAAACAAATCCCGAGCTTGAATCATACATATTACAGCTATATGAAAGTCATTGCTAAAATAGCCAATACATGCCTTAAAATTTTATTTCAAATTTTATATACTCCAAAATTTTTAAATCTCTCATTTTACTGAAATAAAATTTAAATATTTTTGCAATATTTTCTAGTAGTCTAAAACTTATTTACACAATTTTTTAAATTATTTTAAATGATTAACAATCACATTTTTCTTTATACAGGGTATAGTTAGTTATACAATTTTTTAATTATTTTAAATGAATAACAATTATATTTTTATTTATGCAGGGCATTAACATTCTACATAAAATGTACCTAAAAATATACTCACAATTTTTTAATTATTTTAAATGAATAACAATTATATTTTTATTTATGCAGGGCATTAACAATCTACATAAAACCTACATAAAAATATACTCACTCCTTCACTTAGTAAAGCAGGTGATTCTCTAGTGTTTTCTAATGCCTTCAATAAACTGGCAGCTTTATCCCATTTTTCATACATTGCTAGACCTAACAACTGATACGTTCGAGCCAGAGGATCATTCATTTCTCGACCAACTAAGTAGAAAGTTTTTCCAATCAAATGCTTTGGATTAGTTATATCAAAATGGTCATCAAACCAAGGCTCCCTAATAAATGGGACACGCACTAAAGTCTGAAAGAAAAAAAATAACAATGATTAAAAAATTACAGTTATGAGAAAATACGGTCAGTTTAATATGAAGCAGCATAGTACTGATATGAAAATGTATTTAAAATTAAATTCTCTATATACTGCAATACATGAACGCAAAGTAACAATTTACATAAAATAAATGCATTAACAGTTGTGAATCAATTCTCTGACGATAAATATTTAATAGACTAATGTAATGTTACATAAAAAGTAGTCTAATGCATTAATAGCTATAAGAAATGGTCAGAAGTGAGAAGTAGGAGGTTATGGATTACTTAAACAGGAGTTATGAAGTATGAAGTCCTGACTTTAAGTAATATATGTCAGTTAAAATAAAGATATATATGAAAATTGCTCAACTGTACAATTTATAATATGAAACGCCTTGACTGAATCACACTGTGATAGAAAAAAAATTACTATTCAACTATTAATAACGTAAAAAACGTAAATACTCAAATAGTATTTGATACATTTTCTACATCAACTGTAACAAACTTAGTCTCCCAAAATGATATAAGTACTTTCTGATTATCTGCAGACCCTCTAGAAAAGTCACCAGCAATTGGCAGATAATTTTTGGCCAAGCTAAGACATGAAAGACTACAGCACATTTTAAAAAAATGGCTTAAATGGCAAAATTAAAACTACAAGCTATGTAAATAATAAAACACTTTTTTTTTTTTTTTTTTTTTTTTTTTGGGCAGAGAACAGTTTTTCCTTATGCGCACAGCCATTTGTTTTAAGTTAAAAAACATCACAGAATTGCACAAACTTGGCATCATGCAAAACTTGTCACTTTCACTGTGTACACTATCATTCTTATGTACACAGCAATCTGTTTTTGTTTTAAAAAAAAAATCAAAGAATTGCAAAAATCCAGCACACAAATTTCAATCCATAAAAGCTGACATTTTATGAAGCACAGCTTCATGGAATGTGAAATTTTTAATTCTACATAGTTGAGCAAAACGCCATATTTCTTAAGAATGGCAATGCTTTCTTTTTCATTAGCAGCAAACTTTACAGTCCCTTACAATTCCTTAGAATTAAAAAGAAATTTACTTGAATGCCACAAATCCTAATCAGAAAAAAGACCATGAAAAGTGAAGGGGAAAATCAGCTTTTGTCTGCTACATGCATACCATACCTCGATTGCCATATAAATAAATTTTTGTGACATAGTGCATTGCCTCATAAATACATTTCAGGAAAATGCAAATAATCAGAAAGAATCTTAAAATGTCTAAATTTAGAATACTTTCAGATCTTTCAAAGGAATATACAAAGATTAAGATGAACATAAAAAGTTGCTTTTGATGCAGCCCCTCTTCTGAATGTCTGAGGAAGACATTATGAACTCTGCATAGTGTTCCATACAGTACTCACTATAAGTTAACTAAGAGTATCATGGGCTTACAGAATGTTCACTGAATCAGTATCCACACAGCTGCAAATGATGAAAATTACCCTGATGGTGTAAAACATTCCAATGAGAATTAGATATGTATGCCATTCCAGTCCAGAAAGTTTTCAGTTCTATCAGAGATCCTTCTGATCCATAAAATATGGTTATAAAGGAAAGAGCAAATCCAAACTTCATCTTTACAACAAAATTTGTAATTTTTGTTCCCACTCAACTGATATTCAATATTTGGGAAATACTGTATGGCTGAGATCAGGTATGGCCAAATATGGCTGACATTTTTGAGTGATTCTTTTTATAGGTATGCCTGAACAAAACCTATTCAATCATGATTACATTGCATGTATGATAATAAATATGAAAAAAAGAGTAGACAGTATCATTGAAAAATAACAGAATGAAAACTTTCAGCATAGCCACTCAGTCTATGTTAATTATAGCAGCCATTCCATTAATATGATGCATGTAAAAAGTGCCTAATTGATGAGAGTACATTTAACCTTTTCGTGACGGCGCACCTTTGTGTTTAAGACGCTCGTGCGAGACGGAAGAGAATTGAAGGCAGTCACCGTACAGGACGGAGGTTTTGCATCGCTAAGCCTAATTTTATAACAAAAATCAGAAAAACAAAAGTTTTGCTTCTAACATCGTAAATTTTGGTATCATTTTAGATTATTACTTGAGCTCTTATATATGTTAAAATTAGCCCTTAAAACATTTTTTTTTCTTTATTTTACATGAAAATATACTTAAAAAATTGCTTATCTTCTGAAATAATTTTTGGAAGCGCTATTCAAATTATTCAAAAGTTTTAATTGATAAAATCCATCAATAAAGTTTAAAATTAATAAAAAGAACACAATAAAGACTATTTACAGTAAGAAGTAACAAAATTTAAAATGAAAACGAGTGTGGTAAATCTCGAAGCACAGAGAAGTATCACTTTGTAACTCTTAGAAAAAGTATCACTTTTTAACTCTTTAGAAAATGAATCAGTATTCCCATTTGCATTAGTAAATGGTTCACTAACCATACGAGGGTATTCTTCCCCTGATAAATAGTGCCTTCTCACCATAATAGACTGGAGGTGAGGATTTCCTAAATAAAAAAAGAAAGAAGGGAAATATATCTGAAGGCAATGCAAAACGTAAAAAAACTCCGCACAGTAACCCTAAAAGACCGTACATAGTAGAGAAAAAATAGAATAAAAAAGGAATTGAATATAAATCAGATACGAGAATGTTTTCATTAACATGTAGCAATTTAAAGAGCCCAATTCTCTTTACGCTTTCCCTCCGCGCCCCCCCCTCGAACAGCTGATGAGTAAAATACGAAAGTCAAGCAGAATATATTAAACTCAAGGTCAGGAACCTAAAACTGTGTTCATTTCAAAAGTAATGAACACAGGATGCCATCTAGTGGCCTTCAGAAAAACGTTCCACTTTAAAATGCGAATACGCATCACCCGTTTTCTGAATGCGATCTTTACTGATGAGTGGATGGGACGCCCGGCTGTAAGAGATGTTCTTAGGGAATGCGTATATGGGATGCCCGTTGTGAAAGGGTTAATCCAATTTTGTTATCATGACTACTTGTTATACTAATCTCACGTTAAAGCACATGACTGCTAACATTACAAAACTTTATAAAGAATGATATAATATTCCAACAACTGATGTTCTTAGGGAACTGATGTCCAACAAGAGATGTTCTTAGGGAATGCGTATATGGGATGCCCGTTGTGAAAGGGTTAATCCAATTTTGTTATCATGACTACTTGTTATACTAATCTCACGTTAAAGCACATGACTGCTAACATTACAAAAATTTAAAAAGAATGATATAATATTCCAACAACTGATTATAAAAACATCCAGAACGCCTATGAACACAGCAAAAGATATGCAGCATTGGAAGGCATGTTAATAAAAGGTGAAAGAGTGATATTCTTCAAATATTGACTTTTATACATTCAAACCTAAAATTCTGCACACACAATACGAATGCCGGAAACGTGGGATATACAGTGAATTGAAGCCTTTCCAAATTACAGAATGAGAGCCCTAGATGCAGTACAGTCTATAATAGTCTATAATTAAAGTCTATAATAGATAGTCTACAAGTATAATTAAAGAACCTGATTTCAAGGCTGCCTACAAGCAAAACCAGTGATCCGAAAATTGGGAATTTTTGTGGCGGACTAAATGAAGCGATGAAAATTTCTTTCAGCAAAAAAATAGTTACAAATAGCATCACCAGATGGTGTTTTTCTTTGAAAATCTGCAGTAAAAGTGCAAATCATTGTTGGCATCATGCAGCAGCTGTTATAAAACCTAGAAACATTCACAGAGACTTTGTTTTCAATCTCCATGTTGTTCACAATGATGATAAGTTTATGAGATTATGCTTTGTTAATAAAATTGTTCTACCAAAACAGTAATTCCACAGTAGTTGCTCTACAAACATTTTGGACTTTGAAGGGGATTCTAAGAGGTCCAATGAATGTTAAAAACCTTTGGAAAATGAAAACAAAATTTAAAGATCATTTTCTATTTGTCCTGGAAGAGGAAGAAAACCTGTTTCTGCAAAAACAGTACATAGATTGTGCTTCAGGTTTAGTTTAACTAACTATCAGGACATAGTTTCAAACTTCAGGCTAGCACCAGTGTCCAGCATATAGCAAAGGCACTGGATAGACCCTGTTCAACTGTCCATAAGAGCTTGCGGAATGTCCTCTGATACCAATGCTGTGGTTGCTTCTGTATGATTTTGACACTTGAATAAGGTTCCCACTTTTTCTTTCTTGCTTTGAGGTTGATTCAGAATGGCCCTGCAGCATTCTGGATGATGCAGTAAATACTCACAGCTGCCAAATTTGGGAATCAGAAAATCTGCACCCTGTCTTGGAGGTTCCATTGCGTTCACCAAAAGTGATGGTACGGTGTAGATTTTCTGCATCATTTATTCTTGGCCTGTAATTCTTCAAGGAGTTAAATTCCACAGGTCCAGTGACCTGCTTGATCACAGGCAATGATATGCATTGCTGTTAGAGAACGAAATTGTTTTGTCTCTGCAAGCATGTCAGTGCCTTGCATGCACAATCTTTATGCAAGTTGCAGATCATCCATATATTGCACTGTGTGTTACGAAGGTTGTTAAATGTCATTTTACAGAAGAATGTGTCAGCATTTTCGTAATGTTTGGCATCCCCAATCCTCAGACCTCAATCCATACGATTTGGGATTTGAAAACATTTGAAATATCTAGTAAGCCGTGACAATCCAAGAACTTTACTTGCATTTTTTACTTGTTTTTAACATTTTAAGCCACGTACTGAATACTCCCCAGCACACAGTGAAAGTTCAATTGTAAAATATGCCATCTTGCGATTTCAAATGGTAGCTGTATATGATGGCCATCATGTGGGACATACTTTTTTGTAATAAAATTTGTAAAGCTGTAAAACTATTGTGAAGGTGCTCCTAAATATATAATTTATTAATATAATGCCTTCTGGTGACGCTATCTGAAACTGATTTTTTTTTTCACTGAAAGAAACTCTCATCCCTTCATTAAAGTCCACCACGAAATTTCACAACATCCTGAAAAATGGTTTCCCTTGTAGTCAGCTTTGAAACAAAAATATTTAATTATAGACACCCTGCATACTATAAACTAGAAGTATGCATTGTTTATAGAAAAGTTTTTGAATTTAAAAGTTCAAGAGAGAATGTGAAATCATTTACCTGGAAGTCTTATACATAACCAAATGAATCTATGAGCTCAATCATAACAAAAAGGAAGAGCATAATGGAAACTCGGAAATTATCAACAAAAAAAAACTGAAAAAATTTTCAGGAAGGGAAGGGGAACTTCTGCTTTACAGATTAAGAGAAGTTCAAAGGTTAAGAAAAACTAAAATTTATTAAACAAAAACATCACAACACAAATGGGCTCTAGGTGACTAAAAAAAAAATTTTGTATAGAGTACAAAGTCTGAAACCCAGATCTGCAGACCATCAGCATTTGTTTTTCTTTACGAAGTCTAGGGATGGAGAATACTCAAGAAAAGATGTGTGTGCTGTAAAAGTGGGTTTTTTCCCCCAACTGTAACTTCTGTATGTCACTTTTAAACCACTGCTGCCAAAGGAATCACATCAAAGCAAATGTCAATACAACAGTTGCCACTATATTGATGTTAGTCATGACATGGTTGTGACTAACATGCTAACACCCCACAACCCTCACATGGTTGTGGGGTGTTAGATTTTTACCTGATCTAAACAATAACTACCTAATCTAACCACGACATATTTGTTTAAAGTAAGATGTTGCTCATACAGGTTTTTATTTTGTTGGCACAGCAAAGATGAACAGAGTCATAGCTAGGGTTTCAGCACCTGGAGAAAACTGAAGATTTTATGTCCCCTCCAGTTTACCAGGAATAGAAAACATTTAATTCTAAAATTTTATAACATCAGCTTGGTGCCCTCTGGAAGCTGTGCATGGGGACAGATGTCCCCTCTTACACCCCTCTAGCTACACCAATGATATTGAAGCACTGCATGTGCTGAAATGCAAATATATAGTAGCCTTTCTAAAAGTGTAGGCTAAATTTTCTGAACAGCTGCAAGAACATTCAAGAATTTGTTTTAACATTTTAACATAAATTCAACTGTATAGAGCATTGCAAAGTAATGGAAGAACATAGTTGGGAATATTTTCAAAAGTGCATGGCATAATACATGGCTAGCTGCCATATTCCATGATCATAGTGATGATGACGATTTGAAGGTTTCCGGGTAATTTGAAGATTTCTGGGTATCACAAGTAAAAGGTGAAATTTTCCAATTAATGGAATTTGTGAGGAAAGGTGGGGAAGTGATAAGAAACGAAAATGACATAACAGAGGTGTGTTTCACTGTGATGACAAATCACTCAATTATCAATCAACTAACTTATGGCAAAATCTGTAGTATGGTTTTAAATCCAGAAAATATGGTGACCAATAGGGAAGAAAGTGATAAAGACATTATTGAGAATGATTTTGATTAACAGTTAAGTAAGAATTCTAGATATGATAATTGCATGACTTGGGTGACAGAACTTTTTTACTGATCAGGAAATTATGTCAATCTATGAAACTAAAGAGAATGTGTACATATATGTATGCTAAATACAAGGTTGTTATTGTGATTCTAAAGAGAACGTAATAGCACAAAATACAATAGACCTTACACAACTTACACTGAAAAAAAAATTTTTTTAATGAATGAAACAAATAAATATTATTTTTTTATTTGAAAATTTTGATTTCTTTAAGATGATAAATGAATCATTATTTCATAAAACACTATTTCTTATTTTTAATTTTATAATTTCTGTGTTATCATGTGAAAATTTAAAACTCAGAATTCAGGCACTGACAAAAATGCTTCATGATTGAACAAGCTAACAATATCCATAATGACAGAAATCAGGCAACAGATGCTCCTGAGTATGGAACCAGCATCCACACTCTCAAAGCATGATGCTCTGGAAAGAGATATGAGTTAGCAGGAAAAACACTTCTATTTTCTTCATTCCTTCAATTCAACTAATAAGCATCTCACAAGTATGTATATTTCAAAATATATTTTGTCCTTCTCCTCAAAAAATAGAAATAAAATTCTAACCCATCAGCAAGAGTTCTTCAAGAAGTTAAGTTATTCTTCTTAAATTACTAAATTATTCAAGAATGGCACACATACACATTTCTCAGACATTTTTATGATAGATGCAATAATGGACATCTTATTCCTATGATTCATACTTGATGCATGAAGTACAGTAAGCAAGTGGTTAAGAATGCTGAATGCTAGTAGTTTGACTTGGGTTCAAACCCAGTCAAACAAGTTGACTACACAATTGGTTTTCGTGGTTTTCCTCATATGTACTACAAATACGACCCAGTTTCCCTTGGAAAGTTCTCCACAAAGACATCACATACCTGAGACAGATATATTTCATAATTTGTTATATTCAAATAAGATAAATTAATATCTGATAGATTACTCTGCATAGTTCATCTTAGCGAGAAAAATTAACCTAGAATCCTGCCAAAAATTTCATATACTGAAAAATTTCCTTCGGAAAACTTTTAGGAGATGATTTGCATCTCATCATCTGCCAAATATTTATATCTACTGTTAAAACCAAATGCGGCCACTCTAAAAATTTATAACTATTAAGGAAAGTAATTTTTTCTGTTGATTTCAAGTTTAGTTTAGATATTTGGATAAGTATTAAAATTATGGGTATGTATCCAAATTTGGCATTTATCCAAATCATTTCTTGCAATCTTTCAAATGCAGATTAAAATCTGATTAACTTAGGTTAAAATGTGTAAAAATAAACTAAATTTTTTACCACTTCCTCTTCATCTTCATTTTCTACTGCTTCCTCCTGTTGTTCTTTTGGAGGATACCATGAATCAAGTGAGCATTCATTGAGATACATCTGACAAGAATACAGTGCAAGTACACAACTTATTTTGTTTTTGAAGTCTTCTTGTAGCATCATGAGAACAGCAGTATGAGCAGCTTCTAAAACAATAGATGGAAAATTTTGAAAACTTCAAAATTTCAGCAGCTTATAAACATAGCACTGTTACAAAAAATATATAAAATATTAAAATCACATATGACAAATACTTTGAAAATATAACATACCATTGGACTTTTAAATTAGAACAGCCATAAGAATTGTTTCCCTAGCCAAAAACATTTTGCATTAAAATATCATAAATGGACATAACAAATGGGCCACATAAAAACACAGATGATAAATACTATGAAAATTTGGGTACTTCCTTATTAAAGTAACCACCAGATGCTCTTTGAAGAAATTTAGCACTACTTAAAATTAATTTGCAAAAATTATGTTGCAAAAACTAGATCACATTCTGACAACCTTCAAAAAATGAAATATACAAGGGAAAATAACATTCATTTATCTTTGCAGAGGCCATAATTCGGTAGCTGCTGCTATTAAAGAATCAAATATTGGCAATTTTTTTTTTTTTTTTTTTAACTTTCATTCATACTTTGCACTATAGTTCTTCAGCACAGCAGTATATGCAGCACAAAACAGTAAGAAAAGGAAACCTGGAACCATGAAGCAAGTTACTGGCATGAAGATTTTTTTGTCTTGCTGTTTTTCACTTAATCTCCAAATACTTTTATAAACTGGTGGCAAATTTTGCACTTTTGCTCAGCATGCAAAATTATGTGTTACTGAAGAGAAAACTACCACTTTTTTTTTTTTTTCAATTGATAAGTTAAATACAATTAATATTTTAGAAAAGAGAAAATTAAGAATACAACAGAATGAATAATATTGTGAGGAAACTACTCTTATTTTTAATTTGATGAAATTAAAAAAATGGTTAGCATTTTAGAGGGCAGAAAAAGTAATGAAGGAATGATACCACAAGGCTAAATGTTCTGCATGTTATCAAATGTTGCAAGATATAAATATCACAAAAATTTACTACTTCTTTTCCAACATTAAAAATTTAAAATGATATATATTTTAGAAGAGAAAAATATTTAATCAATGATATCACATAGGCAACTTTGTAAAGAAGCATACAGTAGCTCCCTAAAGTGTTTGCATACTTTAAGAATTTGTAGAAAAAGCGCTGTACCCCAGAACTGAATTTTGAATATTTTCATATTATCTCCACACGAATTTTAATATAACCTAGCCCTTTTTTTAACTAACTTATTTTCTTTTCCTAAAATTGAAAAATGTAAGGAGCCATACATAAAACACGGCACAAAAGTGATCATACACTGAAACATTTTCGTAAAATTTCATAAATAAAATTATTGTCTGCCACTTTTTTTATTTTAAAATTTTGTGGTATTCGTCAGATGGGCATATACTTTTATGGAGAAGAAAAAAAGAGGAACCTTATCCCAAGACCTTGGTTGGAATAGTAAAGTATAGCAGTAGAGGTATCCTTGTGTGGGGGCGCATGTCAGCATCAGGATTAGGTGATTTCGTATTTATTGATGGCATGATGAACCTTGCTCTTTACTTATATATTTTAAAAGATAATTTATTCTCCCAAATAGAAATAACTTTATTTTTTATCAGGGTAACGATCCTAAGCACACGACCCTCAGCGTTCACCTCTGGTATATCTATAATTGTCCACAAGTTCTGAAAACACCATCTCAGTCACTAGATTAAAATTAAGATAGAATGCATCTGGAGAGAATTTTTTTGCAGACTGTTAGAGCTATTTTAAAAAAGTAAGCTTGAACTTTCGATTCTGTCAAAAAGAATTTCCGATTCTGGAGCTGCCAAAGGATCAACAAAGTGAAAGCATGTTTCGATAATCCATCAAACAAAAAGTGGAATTGCTGCAAAAAACGGATAAAGGCATATCCTTTGTTTCTCTAACCATTCCGAAACCTGTTTATCAATTTCATGCTGCTCTGCGTGGGATGGGGGGGGACGTTGCAGCGCAATGAACTGGAAGTTGATCTGTCAGCACTATCCTTATCTTCAGGGCAGATGTTTTTATTTTATTCGGCTTATAATTCCTTACTAAATGTAGTATTTCATCCCGATGTACTCCGTCTTTGATATGATTAAATCAAATTCCTCGTCATTATAAATATCATAAATACACATCAAATAGTTTTCTGGTTGCAATTTTATAATTTCAACTATGCATATTGTATGCTTTACACATGCGCGTGTTAAAAGAAATTTTTAATAAAGTAAACAAATAAATATTAAGCTTTTTTTCGTAAATTTTGATACCCTTTAGATCATAATTGGTCTTTATTTCATAAATTACAGTTTCATATTTTTAATTTTATAATTTTTGCATGCCATCTTACAAGATTTAAACTGATGATCTATAATCCGGAAAGCTCGATAATCCGGAATCGCCAAAGTCCCGACGAGTCCGGATTAAAGACTTTTGACTGTATATTGTTTTTGCAACGACAATACAGGACTGCATTATGCCAATTATTGTTCTCAGATTTTTAATTCTACAAGTTTTAAATGGGAAAAAAGAATCCCTTTAATAATGACATTTTGTGCATTTGATATAAAGATGAAATAAAACTAATAATCATCCTGAAAATTAAAAATGCTCATAAATAAACCTAAAAATGCATTGTAAAGTACCCTGCAGAAATATACAAATATAATTACTAAAAAATTTACCTTTGTAAAGCTTTTCCTTCAAAAAAGTATCCATTAATACATTATATGAAAAAAAATCAGGGAAAATGCCATAATTTTCCCGATCCTCCAAAATTTTAAGCAATGTTTCATATTGCTTAAATTTCAAATAAATTCTTATAGTAGCATATATTGTAGAATCCATTATTTCTACAGCTCGTTTTGTCCTACGAAACCTACAAAATGAATGTAGAAAGTACACAAAAATTATAATAAACAAAGATAATAGAATTAAATAAAATGCAGAAAATACAATGGACAGTACAATGCTATGTTTAACATTAGAAACTATATGAAGGCATATATAATAAGGAATTCAGTTAAAGACTTTGACTTGAATGCCTGCCTGTTCATGTTACCACAAGAAATAAACAAATTTGTTGTTACAGATTGGCAGCTATAACAACAGACATAGGCTTTAAGCTCTGGAAAACAATACAATAAGACTACTGATCCAAATATTAAATATGAAAATAATTTAGATATATACCTGTAAAGTAAATGTTCTAATTCATCAAGTTCAGATTCACTTTGAACACAATTTGCAAACTGTAAGGATAAAAAAATGAATTTTAACAATTTACCCCATTAAATAATTCTATATATTTTATACATATTTATGTGAAGTATGTAACATATTACATAAATATAATTTCTTAACAGGTAAATATAAAAATAATTAAAATTAATAAAATACAAAAATTTAAAATTAACAGAACATAATTGAATAAAAATTTCTTTACAGAATTTCTTAATAAGGTGAATACATACATAATATGTGCATAATACGCACTGATATCAGTGCAATATGATGAAAAATCCTGCAATAAGCTCACAGATAGTTCATTCGTAAACTAATTTAAGCAAAAGAATGCAAGTTAACAATACAGACCTAAAAATTAATAAATATGCTTGAAAATTACAGCTTAAAATCATATATCAAAGGAATTTATCACGCAATATGAAATTTTGTAATAAAATACAATAGAGTGCAAAACCTGAATGTCTAATATCCGGACCTCTAGACCAGCATATTTTTTTTTTTTTTTCCAATGTCTAGGAATGGAGAATATAATATTAAAAAGCAAATGTGCCATAAAAGTGATTTTTCTTTCTAGCAAAGAATCTTTTATGTTGCTTTATGTTGCTTACAGAATCACACAGTGACCATTCATATTACACCGACTGCCATTAGCTGTCAGTGTAATATGAATGGCCTTGAGACAATCACACTTTCAGTCCTTGAGTGGCAGTGGACAGGAAATTAGCACTTTTATGTCACACTTAAACAATAAGTGGAGCCCCAAATCATATTTGCATGAAGTGGGAAGTTATTGATACTTTTTTTTTACTTGGTATAAGCACATGGAAAAAAGAAAGAAATATATTTCAAAGAATTTCAGTTAGCACAACAAATTACATCTATTAATTTAATCCAGCACATTGTCTGTAATTGAAATTGAAGTTTTAATTTTTGATTATGTGAAAAAGAATTTAATTCTGGAGCTGTAACAAGATGTGCAAACTGAGAGCCTATTTAGTATTTGCCTTCTGTAATGACCTTGGTGAGAGAAAATGGTGCTAGCACAATTGGGTATAAGAACACAGAGTTTCAAAATTAGGCAAAACAACACACTTATTTGGCAAGGATTTTTCTTGTTATAGAAGGTTAAATTTTCCAATTACTTTTATTGGTGAACAAATGTGGAGAACTGATTATAAATGAAAATGACACAGCATAAATTTTCCATTGCGATGACAATTCCACAATCAGCAATGGCTAATGAACAGTAAAATGTGTAGCATGATTTTAAATCCAGAACATATATATCACTACCTATAGTGAAGAAGTTTCTAGAAAATGTTTTTAAGAATGAAAAAATTTTGATTGATAATTTAGAGAAAATTCTGAACATGGCAGTTACAGAACTTGAACAGAACAACTTTGTAACTTAACAATTACGGCTATCTATCAACTAATAAGAACGTATTAGCACAAAAAAAAATAAATAGTTTAAACAACTTAAACTGAAATAAATGTTTTATTAAACAAACAAACAAATACCGAACTTTTTTGAAAATTTGTATTTCCTTACTATCATAAATGCTTCAGTATTTCCTAAACAACCATATTATACATTTAATTTTATAATTTTTATGTTAGCTCAGTAGATTTAAATAGAAAATATAAAATTCAAAAATTCCCAAAATCTGAAATTACCAAAGTCTCTATGATTCCAGACATAGTACTGTATGCAGATTAACTAACAACAAATTTAAAGGGCAAAAATACTCAGCAATTTGGAGACAAAATTCAAATTTGCTTTTTATCTCAAACTTCTGAAAGCATGACACTCGAATATCATTATGAATTTAACATACAAATTTTATTTTAATATAATGAAAAGTACATACTATATCAATATCCACGCCACTCGCAAGTCGCTTACTTCCAAATTTTCTGTCTGTTTCAACAAAGTATTGATCTGTTAAACAAAACAAATTTTGGTCAAAATGCAATTAAAAATTAAGATCACAGAAATATTTATATGAAGAAATAAAATGCAATGAAAGAATTCACATGGATAGTTCAACAAATTATTTGCTTTGATAATATGGAAGAATCATTAAAATCTTTGGTTAATCTTTGGATTATGGTAACTTGGCGATTTTTTTCGCGACCAACACTGCTACAGCAACCTGCTAGTTTTTGTTTGCATGCCATTTTGTTTTCACGAAGTAAAGGGATATTTCTTTTTTTTTTTTTTACTCAACATTTCCAACATTTTTTTCCAACAATCTGCTAGTCGAATTACGCTTATCCTAGAACTTTTATGGAACCAAAAGTGCTTAATCATGACAAAGATTAGGTGTGAAATTGGGACAAAATGCAGAATCGCCTACTGCTTGCCGCGTTTTTAAGAATTGCACATACACGGTATCATCCATGTACACGTCGACCTATTTTCACTTAAAAAAAATCCCAAAATTGCACAAAAATGGCATTGCGCACACTCTTGACTATATTCATGTACACTGCTAAAGTCCTAGCTAGTAACCTTTATCGCCTTACCAAAATGTCGCCAAACTACCTGTTACCATATTCCAAAGATTAGCCAAATCTTTCATTAAACCTGAACTTTATATTTTGAGCCATTAAATGTAACAAGACTGCTGTTAATACTAAAGAGAGATTTCATATCTTTTTACTCATTTTCAGTTAATATCCAAAACCAAACCTGTTTTGGTAAAAATATATTTACGTGTGCCCGTTGGCGGAAATTGGCAATTTTTGGCATTATATGGATACCAAGTTTGTGCAATTCTTTGACTTTTTATTTTGGCTTTGTGTACTGACAATTTTTGCACAAAAAATCGCCACTACACAAAGACAAAATAACAAGTCAAATAATTGCACAAACTCAGTATCCATTTACACATTGACCTATTTCACTTAAAAAACATCAGAGAATTGCACAAACTTGGCATTGTGCAATCCCTTGATTTTATCCACATACACATCAACCTATTTTCACTTAAAAAAAATCGGAGAATTGCACAAACTTGGCATTGCACATTCCCTTGACTTTGCCCATGTACACATGTCTGTATTCACTTAAAAAGTCAAAGGAACAGCCAACAAAACATATATAATCTCAATAAACTACATTTTAAATCAAGCAATCAATTAACATAAAAAGGGAACTTCATCTTAGCACTACACAAAGGGAATATCCACTTACCTTATTTAGAAATTTTCCTTTCTTCAGTCAAACAAAAGTCTTTAACTGCATCTAATATCTTCCTAAAATTATTTGAACTAGAATCTGTATACTGGCAATGACACATAAATTCACAAAAATACCCTCCGTAGAGCCAATATCCTCCGACGTTTGGCCATGCTCATTTCCTTCCTACAAACAGGACACTTATAATGGCTTCTAAGTAAACCTTTCATTTACACACCACTCAATTAATGCTCTTTTCCCCTTTCATTCCAAATTGTACAAAAACTTCAAATTAATTGTACCACATTCAGCCATTATACCATCTAAACCACAAAACAAGCAATGTACTTCCTAACCAACATACACAAGCCCTTACAAATCTTTTCCCATAATTCAAAATTTACCGCAATCAAGTAACTGATTACGTCATAATAGGGTTTCCATAACATTAAACTACTTGGGTTACCATAAATGAAACAACAACTTGGCCATAAATGTAACAACAATTTTGCGATAATACAAGGGGCAACCTTCAATCTACTCTAACCCCTGTTTTAACACAGCATTGCAGATTGAATTGACAGCTTTGCAAACTTAAAAAATGTTAGCTTCAAAATTAAACATCTTACTTTATTAATAAATACTCATTGATCCCTTGCTTGTGGATTAATTAATATAAGAATAAGTAAAATATTTCAACTAAACTGTTTTCAATAATTATCTTCTACCAGTATACCTTCTCCATTAAGAATACATCATTATTCTAGCCACAATCAGTGGTAGATAGGGCAGCTGGGTAGGTGCCTGGTGAGCCGGAGCGAGCCGGGCCGATCAAGAGACATGAATGATCAAATCAACAAAGCTGACTCGGCAAGAAAGCTTTGCGTGTGAGGGAATGTACACTGCTTAAAAAAAAAAAAAAAAATGGGACAGTGCTATATCTCCCGTTCTACTGTGCCGATTGACAAAATTCAAACTGCGTTTTTCATGTCTCGGAAGCGCGACTTAGGATATATATTAGATTTATATATAGCACTATTCTAACATAGGTATTTTGACGCAAAATCGGACTTTTTCTGAAATAACATACCAATTTTTTTACATATTTCGATTCTACGACTCAAATTATGCCAGAATACCAAGTTTTGTAAAAATCATATGAATAGTTTTTAAAATATTAGCTCTCAAAATTTTAGCTCATCAATGTTAATTGAATTTGGCAAATATTTATTAATATCTCTTTTTTTATTAAACTTTTTTCATTTTTTTCTCTCACATTTCGAAATTTTAGTTCATTCCAAATAAAATTTACCCATTTTTTGCATTTTATTTTTTCAATTTCTATTTTTAAATAATTTCTATAGATTTTTCGGAAAAATTTTGAATTATAACCTATAAAATTTTTACCATCATCTTAAAGTAGGTGTATTTTTAAGCATATCTGCATAAAATTAGACTTTTTTATTCAAAATTTTCTAAGATATACATGAATTTACATAATTTCGCGTTTTGAAATTTGGCACCTTTTTTTTGAGCGATAATAACGCCAAATGTGGTCTATGGACTTTCGTTACAGTGAATTGCCACAGCTATTTTTAACCTTAAATTTCAAGTAAAGTTTTAAGGAGAATTAATTATATGACATTTTTTCCCTCAATGATGCGTAATAAATATTTACTAATACTATATGAAAAGCTATTTTTTTTTAATTATAGATGATATTATTGAAATTTTTAACTTTTTTTTTTTTTTTTTTTTTTTTTTAAATAAGAGTAAATTTTTGTAAGAGTAAATTTTTACCTTCGGCGTTTTATCGTGTGCTACTTTACTTCACTTAAAACAAATTGTCTAAAACTGAGAATTTTCGTTTGATGTTTATTTGAATTTTATGACATTAACTGCATAATTTATTTCTAAACAAACTGTTGCTTTTGAAGTGGCTGAAAGAGCAGCTGATACTATCATCTATATTTTTAAAGCACAGTATATTTTTATAGAAATATAAGATTGAGAATAATCATTTTTATAAAAGTGAAATTATGATATAAACATACAACCCTCTAGAGACTGAATTAATGGAAGTTCAATGGTTATGTAGAAATGATCTGCAGCTACTTAATGGCTGGATAAGTCAGCAGATTCTGTGGACAAGTAAGAATAATTATATAAATGACACTCAACATTCTGAATTCAATTAACAACGATGATACGATGTTTATTAAATGAATTTAAGAAGTTTTAAAACATAAAAAATCAACACATTTTTTATCCTAAAATGTATTTTTGTGCATAGCGTATTTTCATTATATTCTTAAAAATTCTAATTTAGAATGTAATTGTCAAGAACTGAATCCTAATCATCAGTAATATAATAAGTAATTATTACGGTTATTAATAAATCCTTCTTATAAAGTAATTGCAAATATTTCAAAAAACTTTGTCTGAATGCAAATATTTTTAATTTTATATTAATCAAGATTGCACACAATATTATTTATTTGCACTTCAATTTTTACTGTCAGTTCTAGTAGAAGTTACAAATCAATTATATTTAATTAAGGATTGGATTGGATTATTTAATTATGGCAAAGCACACGAGGCCTATCTAAAGGGAGGGATGCTTTCGTGGAGGACTTTCTAAGGGAAACTGGCTCGTATACACGTCACACATGGGGAAAACCACAAAAACACACATGCGACCAGCCTGTTTGCAGGATTCGAACCTCGGACCGAACTACCAGTGTTCAGCATCTACTGGTGGGCTGAACACTGGCACTCGGCTGCTGGTGGGCTATTTAATTAAGGAATGACCATCTAAGTTTAGAAACAGCAATTTAATTATTGGCGCCGTATCTTTCATGTTACTCCCGATTGGCAAGCTACATGATTTTTAATGAGTATTCGGGTTTTGCTAGTAACTTCACTTGGAAATCGCGCTTAAACTAGGTTAGTTGGTTATTTGAACATAGAAAGAACATGGGAGCTATTTGATTAAGATGCTTTCATAGAGAACCTTTGTAAAGAGAACCTAGGAAACTACGAAAATCAACCATGCAGCCTGGGTTAGACTTCGCAACAAACAATTAGTATTTAACAATCTTCAAATGCTAGGCAACTGGTGAGGCTCCAATTAAATCTCCAATTTAATATTTTATTTGTAAATATTTAAAATATTGTTGTATTTTTAGACACAAAAAGCAGAATTTAAGTTTTGTTAACTCGTTAGTAAACTACCAAGCCGAAGTGCAAATGAATATTCAATTTCTTTTGCAAAAATTGTATTCACTTAATATTCTTGGAATATGAGCTAAGAAGGAACGTTCTCAGAAGATTAAAGAAGTGTTTAAATCCAGTGATATTAGGTTTGCCTTACAAGCTCAGGATCAAAACGATTCTGCAATTGCCCAAGTAGTTGACTTGTAAATGTCTGTGATTTAAACAGATGACTTTTAATCTTATGTTTTCTGACTGAAAACGTATTCCAAATGTTTTGTATTGCATGACAATGCATCTTTTCATTATTCAATAACCAGTCGGAGAACCCGCTTGTGTTTTGAAAATAAGTATGTGTACTCAATCGTCCTGCATGTTCTTCAAATTTGACTTCTTGTGATTTTTTTCTTTCCAAAACACTAAAGTTGCCTCTCAAAGGAAAGTTTTTTGACATTGAAGAGACAAAAGGAGTATGACATCTACTTTTAGAGGCATGTCAAAAACAGATCTCTACAAGCCTTCTCTTCCATTACATGTTGTGCAGT